TTTAATAAAGAAGTGAGTTTTCAAAGATTTTTTTGAAGGAGTGGAGGCTGGGTGAAAGTCTGATTGAGGAGGGAAGGGAGTTCCACAGCATAGGTTTAGCCCTGGAGAAGTCTTGAAGGCGAGCATCAGAGCATTGAAAAGCATTGTGAATGGCTAGATATTCAGAAACCAAGCAGGGCGGGAGATATGTCCACACATGAATTTGCTCACTTCCAGTGCATGAGGCAAACTGCAAAGACTTAAAACATTAAACAATAATCCAGTTTATATAAAGACTAGTATGCTGAACTGTTGCTTTTTTTTTTTTTTTTTTTTTAACCAAACTATACGCTTGTCTGACATTTCTTTGATGCCTAAGCAAGAATTGTGGCTGAGGCATCACAGGGTGGTAAAGTCACCATAAACACTGAAGGATAGTTGAAGTATGTGGGTTTTACTTGCCTCTGCTGCATTGTCCACCCCAGTAAATGCTTAAGTAGCATTTACTGGTGTAAGGGAACAAGGAAAGGACACCTCCAGAGTTGTGGAAGTTCTACTTTAAAGGGACACTCCACTGACCAAATACAAAAAAATACAAATCACTGTTTAGTAGTTATACCCCAAATGAAAACTTGCCTACACTTAATAATGCATTTTTGGGGGGGCGGAGCTCGATAGCCGAAGCGAACGGTTGCACAAACCTGGTGCTCCGGCATTCTGCGTTGAAAACATTGCTCTACAAGCTCTTCGACCCCAGAATTAAGAGTCCTGAGGGTCTCCCTAATCCGTACCACCAATATGGGACGCAAGCCCAAAAAGCAGAAACCGGACAAGCCTACCCTGGGCCTCACAATCGGAGATATGTAAAGGCAGGCGCACGAGGTGACTGGGCCCAAGATGGCCTCCTTCTCTGGAGGCTGCTTAGACCTATCTGACGACTTCTCATATGAGGCGGTGGAAGAGAGCTTACCTGTACCGGCACAACAGTCAAAGACCTCGATGGGTACCGACTCACCGGTGACCACGTAGGTGCTGCGGGAGCTTCTGGCAGATCTGCAGAGAACTCTCTAGGCTGATGTTGCCACGCTCCGCGGAGATCTACAGGTCCTGACTGGTCAGCTTGGAATGCTAGAGAAGGTCTCCGAAAAACGAGCTGTTCAAGAGCTACAACAGCAAAACGTAACATATGAATGCCGATTTGCGGCCTTCGAAGATAACGGAACAACCTAAAAGTCAGGGGAGTACAGGATATCTTGGAGGCAGAGCTCTCCCATCTTATGAGGCGTTTGCTGTTGGCCCTATGACCGCCATGGCAGGCTAAGGCAGTAATGCTGGATACCATCTTCCGAGTCTCTAAGCCACACAGGGCACCGACTAATGCCCCCAGAGACTTGGTAATCCGATTCCGGAGTGGGGCTGACAAGGCCGTGGTTTTGACAGCTCTGAAGGGGAACTTTCTGTATCAATTTGAGAGCATGTCACTCACATTTTATGCGGACCTGTCAGGCAGCACGTTGCCTTGACAACGGTCCCTCAAGCCACTTACCTTGCTCCTCCAGCAGCACCAAGTTTGCTATTGATGGTGCCTGGCTCACACACAGGAGGTCCTCCATGGTGACACCACGCATTAACTTCACTATCTCCAGGAATCTGACTCTCTACTACAAAGCCTGGGGCTGTCGTCTGATTCTCTTGGCCAAGCTGAAAAATCTGGGGCACCAAAACCGCCACATACATGGGACCCGACGCGGATTAACCCCTTTGTTCCTCAAGTCTCGGGTGAATGCATATGCCACGGTCACCTCATGAATTCCAGCTGGGAGCAAAACTATCTACTGTACCTGGGGACAGTAGATGAGACTCCATCTCATACTAACCACTAACCTAGTATTATGAGACACTGATTCCCCCACTACCCATCTAGTCACTCTTTACTTGTGGGACACACCCACCCACTGACCCAACTACCTGGTTAACGCGCAATGCCTTCTGACAGTGATTTTACACAGGGCACGCTATGTACTGGTTATTACCAAGCTGGGGGAATGACTGAATCTCTTCTGTCTCTCCCTACTGGGGAGGTGAATCTATCATTATGATTATCTCCGCTACCACCATAACCACCTACTCCTTGCACTTTAATCTCGGACTTTTCTATTGAAATCTGCACTTTTACAATTGAGCAGCAACTTTAAATATTTGCAATGCATTCTTTTTTATAATAACATAGCTATACACCATGTTATCACCCACAGCTGTATTACTGAAGCAAAAAAATAAAAATAAAACTTAGTGGTAAACTAACATACACACTGCTATAAACATATAGGTGCCTTTAAGCAAGAGTTGGATAGGTTGATGCGTGCAGGACAGTGAGTCTGTCCATAATAATAAATAGTAATATCAATAATAAAGTACTAGGCCTTGGAATGGGTAATATTGAATGAAGGAAAATTGCTCTTTTGCGCACTTAATGAACTTTTGGAATGTATTATTATATGCAGTAAATTCATAGAGCCACAACGGATTTAAAGAAATATGCAATATATGTTGAAAAATATACTGTTCTGCCATTTTTACTGAAAAGAGATTGCATGCCTTTCTCTGATGTCAATGCATTCCTTTGAAAACAAACTGATTTATATCTTTATACTTTGATCTCACAAGAGATTCCATATAATTTGAACTTGTGGATGTTTTGTAAATGTTCTGAAGCTCAACCTATGGGAAATAGTACATATAACTGCAACACTTTTTGTAAATCTATTTTCCCCTTTGAAAACATTGCTTCTGACAGCAGATAATATCCAGTTGATCTTCCTAATCTGATTGTTTCCTTTCTAAAAATCAGAGGATATATTTGTAATTTTGTTTTCATTTTTCCCTTGTATTAGGCTTTGCCATCCCAGCTGGTAGAATATTTCATCAAGCTATTTTAAAAAAAACAAACAAAAATTCTTAGAAAAGCCTTGTTTTATGGCACGCATACATTTTACTTGCAGTTTCACGTTTTATTTTTTTGTTGTTTTTTTTTCTCTACAGAATGACACCTTGTTATTGTACTCTTATTTAAATTACAACTTTCTGATAGTATAGACATCTTGTGCACCTTTCAAAGAGCATACAATGCTATCTATACATAGTACTAAAGGATTTGCTAGCAAGTATACATAAGGAGACAAAAAAACTATTTAAAAAGAGGTTCTTCTCCTACCTGTTCATCAATTATTCGGTATAGAGTCTATGCTAAAGAATTGTCTAACAAGTGAGTGCAGAAGAGAACCCTCACCGGCAGTCTTTTTGCTTCCCACACACGGCAACCACTACACATGTGCTGTGGTATCTCCCTAGGCGACGCTGCTACCGCCGGCTAGGGGGTATAGGAACAGAGTGATTAATATCACTCGGTACAGACGTAGGCATGCAGGCGATGAAGCCAGCCTGTCTGCATCACAGAGGTTTACTCTACTTGGGAAGCTTTCACAAGCTGGATAAAAGGGGATTGCAGGAGGAGTGAGGGCGTAATGAAGGTGGGTTTAAAAATAAAATTAAAAAAAAAGATGAGGACACGGCAGCGCTGAATCAGAGGTAAAGTGAGTGAATAACACAATTTTTTATTAAATACGTAATGTATTTCTGTGTTATATGATGTATTTAATGCATTTGGGGGTGGGGTGATTTATGCTAAATTGAGAATCAAATGACTAGTTCACTTTAAAAAGACTGGCTTACATCAAGTTCAGTTTATCACACATCTCTGCTTCTGTTGAAAAATCGGTCAAAAAAATCTTAGGTCAAGCAATTCATAATTTTGCAATAAAATGAGGAAAAAAAATATTTTTGTAGACTGCAAACTGGCAATCACCTTTCTTTCTTTTTTTTTTTTTTTTCATTCAAGGTTTATAAGCTTCATCATTGCTTACATCAGGAAGGCAAATATGTGCATCAAAGATAATATGTAGCGAGACAACTTCATAGTATAACATATTACTTAACAACATAATAAAAAATAGCATAGGTCAGCAATATAAGGTTTAGTCTAAGTATGTCTACATATGACGTCAGTGTCAAGGCGATATATTAATTTAATAGCCATGTGTGTCACACAGTTCTGGTATTGGTGAAATTGTAAGTTCCATCACAATCTTTTACTATAGGTCAAAGTCTAATTATGGTTAATTTGCTAGACAATAGTAATAATTAGGCATTGTATAAGTTATGGTAGCCACTTGTGGC